CCTTACATCCCCATCTTTCCAGAGCTTAATAATCTGTATTTCACAATAAGTAAAAAAGAAAACAATTAAGAAAAGAGAAAAAAAATATATAATAGAAAAAAAAGGGTGTGCTCACTTACCCTATTCTCAAACCACTTGTAAAAGTCAATCTTTGGAAGACTCGTATCATTTAGATACTCACTAACCAAATAAATTAAGGAACTAATAGTTAGTTAATTGTATATATTTTTAATATAAATTTTTTAAAATCAATTACATCATAACACTTACTCTAAGAAAGGTTGTGCTTCGTCACAATTTTTTAAAACATAAAGGTGAGATTCTTTCCATTCATCAAAAGTCGGCTGTTTTATATTTATCTTCCCTAAAGACTTGCTCATTTTAGAAAAAACGGACAAGGTATGGAGTTGTTGATGATCGATATCGTCATTTCGATCTAGACGGTTAAAATGCGTCTCAATCTTAGACATATATCTAGAGAAAAATGTTAGACATTCCATTTTGATGTACCCATTAGCAATTGAAGCTTCAGGGTAAGCTTTGTTCCGTACATATGATTTAAATTTTCTCATCGCCCTTTTTTTTAAAAAAAAAAAGTTAGTTATAATCTATAAGTATTTACTTAAATATAAAACCTCCTTTTTTAAATAAATTAAAACTTTACCTTTCAAAACGATACATCCATCGATAATGTACTGGGCCGGCGATCGTAGCCTCAGTGTCCAAGTAAATTGGAAGATAATAATAATAATAATAATAATAATAATAATAATAATAATAATAATAAAATTGTACAAAAGGGCAAATGTTCCAATGTCTTTGACATGAACACGTCTCAGATTGCGTCTCTTAAAGAATGTTCGGTACTGTGCCTGAGAAACATGAATGCCAAGTGAGTGACAGACCGCATGATCGGAATTGCCCACACTTATAAAATTAATATAAATGCTAAAGCAAAAAAAAAGAGAAAAGAGAGCTAAAAAAGAATAGAAAGCCTCAAGCATAAAAATATAAAGATTCAAAAGCAAGGTTGCACACCTTGGGGGCTTATCTAAGGTCTTGAGCCTTTATCCCTTTCTTCTTTAGCCTTTAGCCTAACCACGTTACACCCATTAAAAAGACCTTTTTGACGTATACACACACTTGTGCGAGGTTCGGCTAGAGCTACGTTCGGCCTGATTCCTAACGGATACGTAGGCAACATCACATCGAGGTGCGACCGTAATAAGCATGCATTCATATTCACATTCACACACCATGATCATATCAAGGGATCTCTAATGCTCATCCCTATCTACTTAGAGCTAGACTTGGGGGCTTGATCCTTATATCATTAGCTTACCTAGCCTAAGAGTCACCATCATTTGACTTTTTTCGATATATTTTCCACACTTAGCCCTTGCAGCCTAATCTTAGTGTCACTTTCACACACTACATGAATACATGACCAAATATTCCTCCCCTTAGGAACCCTTTGTCATGAGATCTTAACACGACATTGAAGCATGCCTTATCATATCAAAATATCTCATCACTTGTAATCGTTATCGCATCACAAAGTATGAAGTACTTAGCCTCCGTGCCCAAGTTACCTAAATACTTTCATTATCGAGTCAACTAGGACAGTCTAAGATGTTAGAATCCTTATACTGTGAGAGACAACATTTGTAACACCCCCAAATCTCCTTCTACGGAAATACTAGTATAATACGTATAATTATACCGTAGAGATAAACTTAGGCGTATTACCGCCGCGTGATTACGCAAGGCTACTAAACTTACTAAAAATAACAATACTTTGCAGAGGAAACTTCAATACTCTTCTTTATTAATAATAATCATAATAGTAACTAATGTTATGAGTACTCAAAATAGATACAAGACCAAATTCCTAATTTAGTGAAAACCAATCCCGGGACTCCAATACATCATTTATTGACTCCAACCTGAAAATAAAACACTTCTTATCATTACTAAAATATCCTTTTTAGAAAATAATAATTAATTAGGAAAATACGTATGAAAATACGGGGTATTACAATCTATTCCCCTTAAAATAAGTTTCGACCCGAAACTTAGCCAAAAGAAACGAAAATCATTTTGAAATTATTGGTTCATGCACATCCTAACTTGACTCAAGACTCCAACTAAACTTAAATAAGACTCGAAATCACTCAAAAATGACTCAAAAAGTAGACGCGTGAAACTCTATCGCCCTTTACCCCCCTTAAAAGGAGTTACGCCCCCGTAACTTGACCACTAACCTTAGGCAAACAGTTCTGGGTAACGTTTCCTCATAGCAGCCTCAGCTTCCCATGTGGCCTCTTCAGTTTTCTGATTTGACCACAATACTTTCACAATGCTCACATCCTTGTTCCTTGTGCTCCTGACCTTAGAGTCAAGAATCTTTACTAGTCTTTCCTCATAAGTCAAATTCTCATCCATCTCAATTGTTTCTGGTTGTAACACATGTGTCACATCAGGAATATACTTTCGGGTTTTGCTCACATGGAACACATTGTGAACCCTTTCAAGCTCGTTAGGCAAATCCAACTTATAAGCCACTTTTCCCACTTTCTGAATGATCTCATGAGGCCCTATGCAATTTGGGCTTAATTTTCCTTTCTTCCCGAACCTCATCACACCTTTCATGGGTGAAATATTTAACAAAACCTTCTCTCCTACTTCATATTCCTCTTCCCTCCTTTTCAAATCAGCATAACTCTTCTGTCGATCTTGGGTCGCTTTAATCTTTTCTTGGATCAACTTAACCTGCTTCACCATATCCTCAATCATCTCTGGTCCAAGAACCATAGTTTCACTTATATCATTCCAACATACTGGGCTTCTACACTTTTGACCATACAAAGCTTCAAACGGTGCCATCCCAATGCTTGCATGGTAACTGTTGTTGTAAGAGAACTCTATCAAATCCAAGTGGTCTTCCCAAGACCCTTGATACTCCATCACACAAGCTCTTAACATGTCCTCCAATGTCTGAATCGTTCTTTCTGTCTGACCATCTGTCGTAGGATGAAATGATGTGCTCATTAACAACTTAGTTCCCATTGCCTTTTGCAAACTTTGCCAAAAGTTAGACAAAAACCTTAAATCTCTATCCGAAATGATATCCGTGGGTACCCCATGGTACTTCACCATAAACTTCACATAAGCTCTTCCCAACTAATCCATGGTCCAAGTACTTCTCATAGGTATGAACGCTGCTAACTTGGTCAACCCCTCCACTATCACCCAAATAGTGTCATTTCCTGCCTTGGTCTTTGGCAAAGCTCCTATAAAATCCATAGAAATCAAATCCCATTTCCACTTGGGCACCTCCAAGGATTGGACCTTTCCTTGAGGCCTACGATGCTCAATCTTCCCCTTCTGACATGTCAAACACTTAGAAACAAATTCAACCACTTCTTTCTTCATATTGGGCCACCAAAAAGTCTTCTTCATGTCCTTATACAACTTATCCCCTCCAGGATGCATTGAATAAGGAGAATTATGGGCTTCTTCCATCAATCTTTGCTTTAAATCACTACGATTCTGCGGCACACACCATCTTCCCTTAAAACGAATGCTTCCCTCATCACCAATGGTGAAATCCAACACTTGCCCTTCATCAATCTTCTTCTTAATTGCTTTTCACTTCTCATCTTCCAATTGACTATCCCTTATCTCATCATAAATGGATGGTTGAACCACCAAGGCATTCAACATCCTAGCCACTTCACCATGTTCCATCACCTCCAAGTTCAACTTCTGAAATTCCACACACAACTGATCTGGGATTACCATCACATTCACCGTATGTTCTGACTTTCTGCTCAAAGCATCTGCCACCACATTAGCTTTCCCTCATGATACTGAATATCCAATGTATAATCACTCATATACTCCAACCATCGTCTCTGTCTCCCATTCAAGTGCATCTAGGTGAAAATGTACTTCAAACTCTTATGATCCGTGAAAATCCTACAAGTCACCCCAGACAAGTAATGTCTCCAAATCTTCAAGGCAAACACTATTGCAGCTAACTCCAAATCACGGGTTGGATAATTCCCTTCGTGAACCTTTAACTGTCTCGAGGCATACACAATTACCCTTCGACTCTGCATCAACACACATCCCAATCCCAACCTTGATGCATCACTATACACGTCATATAGATCACTCCCATCCGGCAAAGCCAACACAAGTGCTGTGGTTAAATTTTCTTTCAAGATCTTAAATGCCTCCTTACACTCTTGGGTCCATGAGAACTTATGCTCCTTTTTCATCAGACTTGTCATGGGCTTCGCGATCCTTGAAAAATCCTTCACAAACCTTCTGTAATAGCCTTCTAAACCCAAGAAACTCCTTACATCCGACACATTCTTTGGGGTTGGCCAATCACTCACAGCTTGAATCTTGCTTGGGTCCACCGAAACTCCGTCCTTGGAAATCACATGGCCCAAAAATGCTACTTTCTCCAACCAAAACCCATACTTAGACAACTTGGCATACAACAGATGCTCTCTTAAACATAACAACACTTGTCTCAAATGCTCCTTATGCTCTTCTTCATTCTTTGAATATATCAAAATATCATTAATAAACACCACTACAAACTTGTCCAAGTATGGCCTGAAAATCCTATGCATCAAGTCCGTGAACACTGCAGGTGCATTGGTCAAACCAAATGGCATAACTGTGAACTCATAATGACCATAACGGGTCCTGAAAGCACTCTTTGCAATATCTTGCTCCGCAATTCTCAACTAGTGATAACCCGATCTCAAATCTATCTTTGAGAATACCCCTGCTCCTTTCAACTAGTCAAACAAATCATCGATCCTTGGTAATGGATATGTATTCTTCACTGTCACCTTATTCAACTCTTGATAATCTATACACAACCTCATACTTCCATCTTTCTTCTTCACAAACAATACTGGAGCACCCCAGGCTAATGAACTAGGCCTAATATAACCTTTCTCCAACAAATCACTCAACTAGGTCTCCAACTCCCTCAACTCAGCTGGAGCCATCCTATATGGAGCCTTAGAAATAGGTCTAGTTCTAGACACTAGATTGATAGTGAACTCAACATCCCTCACTAGTGGCATACCAGGAATCTTATCCGGAAACACATCTGGAAACTCTTCTACAACAGGAATACCCTCTTCACCTTTCTTTTCCTCTCTTTCAACCTCTTGAACACTACACAAAAACAAAGGACAACCCTTCTTAACCAGCTTCTGTAGTTGCATTGCAGATACAATTCTCAACCCTGAACTTTTCCCTTCCTTTTTATACACCACTTTGGTCTTACTTGGGCTAGTCAAGGTGACCTTTTCAGCCGCACAATCAATTTTTGCTTCATACTTTCCCAACCAATCCATACCCAGAATCACATCAAAGTCATTCAAGTCAAACTCGATCAAACCAGCCAGAAACTCTACCCTAGAGATGGAAATAGGCACACTCAAAAACAATCTCGAACAACTCCTCACTTCCCCAGACGGAATAGACACATCTAGAGAAACTGACTCAGGACTCTCTTACCCGAGACTCCCAACTACTTCCTTGGAAATAAAAGAATGTGACGCCCCTGAATCAAACAAGACTTTCACAAGAAAAGAACTTATAAAGAAAACACCAATTACCACATCATTAGTAAAGTTAGCTTGCCGACTATTCATCACAAACACACGACCCTTTGGGGCACCTCCTGCACCGCTACTGGTTCCAGCCTTGGTTGTAGGTCCACTAGACTGAGGTGGTTTACTAGGTGCACTAGACTCTTTCACCTTCCCATACTTAACATCAGCTTCCTTCTTGAAACACTCATACTCACGATGTCCCAACTTATGACAGTAACGATAAGTTACCGGGTTTCCCTCACAGTCCTTTCCTGGGTGGTCTTTCTCACACCTCTTGCAGAAATACTTCCTCTTGGGCTTCTCACCCAGTTGGTTCCCATTCCCTTTATGGTTGGATGACTGTCCCCCCATTCCCCTTCCCAAAGTTCCCCTTGTTGTCCCTCCTATCTCCAGAATTCCCTTGGTAATTTCCATTAGGCTTGTGCCTCTTTTCACCCCCGTGAAAAGAGTCTGGGTTCTTCCTTTTCTCTCCCACCTGCTCCATCTCCCTCCCCTTAATTCCGTACAGATGGGATGCACGACCATAGAATTCATCTAGGGTCTCAAAAGTCACTCCCCCTAGCTTCCCTTGGAAGGTGAAGGTTAGGCCTTGCTCAAATCTTTGAGCCTTAATGGTTTCAGTAGGGACTACTTCCGGGGCAAACCTCATCAACTCAATGAACTTGTTGTAGTATTCACTGATTGACATGTTTCCCATTCTTAGGTTGGTAAACTCCATACACTTTTGCTTTCTAAGGTAGGAAGCGTAAAACTTCTCTCTCAAGGCTACCTTGAACTCATTCCACCCAAAGTTTGGTCTTTTCAGCAACTCATCCTTTCTTTAGGCCCACCATAAGTCAGCTTCCTCCCTCAAGTATAAACTCCATTGTTCACCCTCAGCTTGATTGGGCAATTGATAGCATCAAATAGCTTGTCAAACTCCCTAATCCAGTTTTCAAGGCTGGCTGGGTCCTCTTTTCCCAAGTAAATAGGTGGTTTAGCTGCAGCTACCCTCTTAAAGACTTCACTATAGGCATCAAGCTCAGGATTTCGGTGTTCCCTGTTCACCACCTTCGCGATGTTCTCAGTAATTTGGGTCAACTGCTTAAGGACCTTTCCAACTTTGGAACCAGTGCGCTTACTCCTTAAATGTTCCCTCATTCTTGGAGACATAATTCTTGGGTATGATTATTACACTTGGATATCAAAACAAGTTCTACTCATACAAGCATTTAATTCACTTAATAACATAGAGAAATTTAAAATAATTCATTTTATTTCATTAATAATTAATGAAAATACAACCTTGTCATTTAGGACAATTATTTAAACATGAAACAAAAACATAGTTAAAAAACAATCAAATAACACTATGGGCATAACCATCTTCAATAGGATCATAATCCGGATCATCACTTCTATTGCTTGGTTCGGCCATGAGAGTTGGGTTATAACCACTATAGCTTGGAATAAGGCCTGATGAGCCTTGACCCAAATTTACTTATATTTCTGTCTAGGGCAGGAGTGTAACTTGGGCTTTTTGTTGGGCTTACATCCCCACAAGGTTGGCTTGAAGAAGCTTTAGGGCTTTGGGCTCTTTCTTTTGCAGTTTGAGAACGAGTTGTGGGCCTTTTTGCAACATGGAAATGTGCTTTTGGGCTAGGTTGTTTTGAAGATTCAGAGCTCAAAGATTGGCTAAGATAACGGTAATGCTTGCTCCTACCAAGAGGTGGTACGGACTCATCACTAGATTCCACATACTCATGTCGCTTCTTTGGGTATGAAAAAGGTACTTGGGCATTTAAGAAGTACATTTGGTCATTAGGTCCAAAGGTTCGATCTTTTGGGATCGTGGGAATTTTCACAACTTTCCTCTTAGGTTCATACTTGCGCTCCACATAGTGCAAGTCCCTCTTAAGGCTAGACATAGTTGCTAACCACTTCCCTTCATGATGGTGGTTCTCATTCCACATTTCGTCTTCCTTAATCACATCCCCATATTTGTCAAAGAGAGGTTGGTATTTCTTAATTCTAGGCAAATGGGCCAAGGCTAGAAGAACCATCCAAGGTTGTTGGGTCAAGAATTACTCACCATCCTTCTCATAAAGGGTCAAGGCCAAAGTACAAATTCCAGTTATGAAATCACTAACTGTGACTCCACTATCTTTCAAGTAATGAATGTCAAAATATTGGTGTCTCATTGCATCAATCATTTTTATCTGTTTCACACATACATGCAAAACAATTAATTAAGTGTCAAATCACACAAACAATCCAATTCAAAATCCATTTGCAATAAGCAATTCATAACTCAACCAAACATAACTCAAGATTACCCAACCATGAGTAATAACAAAAAAATTTGGATCTCTAGACCACACTCTAAGGTGTTTTAACACCAAATTTAATGCACACATAATCGCATACTCAAGTTTCAAACAATTTCAATTCTTTTTATTTTCGAAAATAATAAATATGTACTTGAATCGAGATTAATGGACGGTCGAGCCCGCATCTCCCAGGAAAGTTACCTACGACGTTGAGGCAAGTCTTTCCTAGATAGAGAGTCCTACCCATTATAGGCCTCCATAGAGAACTCAAGAATCCTTTTCTCCTTCATCTTTCCACAAATAAGAAAATAGTTTTTTAAGTAAAAATAAGGCTTTTGACTCACACACAAATGCGAAACTCTATCTATCCTTTATGCTCTCTTAAGTCTACCCACAATTTTAATTACTATTCCAATTTTAATCTTTTTAGGACCTTGAAATCTGATACCACTTTGTAACACCCCCAAATCTCCCTCTACGGAAATACTAGTATAATACATATAATTATACCGTAGAGATAGACTTAGGCGTATTACCGCCACGTGATTACGCAAGGCTACTCAACTTACTAAAAATAACAATACTTTGCAGTGGAAACTTCAATACTCTTCTTTATTAATAATAACCATAATAGTAACCAATGTTATGAGTACTCAAAATAGATACAAGACCAAATTCCTAATTTAGTGAAAACCAATCCCGGGACTCCAATGCATCATTTATTGACTCCAACCTGAGAATAAAACACTGCTTACCATTACGGTAAACAGGGCGAACCAAAAAAAATAAGAAGTACGGGTTAGCAAAATATGCCAAGTACGATAAGTGCAAGATAATTAAACTCAATTTATTTGCAAACATGCTTTTAAAACCAATTTCCAATAAATAATCCAATAATTCCAAACTCATGGTTTAAAACCAATTCTCAATAATTCCAATATCAATAATCAATAAAACCACTTTCAATTATTTTAAAACCAATTCCTCATATTAAAACCAATTCCTCTCCCAAGTGTGCACACCCCCCAAGCTAGTCTCCTTATGTTACAAGGCTATTCTTGAGGAAAGACTCGGTCATGCAAAGTCCAAGGCCTTATCAATAAACCAAATCCGCATAGTGGGATTACCAACATGCTTATAAAGCATAAATAATAATAAATCCATGATTCAATAAATCCTCTTTTAAATCCAATAATTCAACCTTTAATGAAAACAATCCAAAGTCCTTTTCCATAAATCCAACTTGCTTTCAAAATCAATCCTTTTTAAACATGAATAATAAATTAATTAATCAAAACATGTTATAAAAATCAATACTCCAATTCAATCATTAAAACAACCTTTTAAACATACTTTTATTTCATAAACCATAATTCAATTCAATTTAATTCAAACAACATAAATCATTCAAACATATTATTCAAATCGATCACTTTCAAGGTATCTAGCCACCTAACGTACCTTGATCTTCACTTAGCCAACAACACATCAAAAGAACTCTCAATTACCTTGATCAAAAACACCCTACAAATATATATAACCTTAATCAATATAAGGTTAACAAATAATCACAAATAATTAAATTAAACCCTCCCAACTAAATGTACATGAACCTCTTAAATTAATTCAACATGAACATTATTAAAATATGATTTTATATAATTAAACTACTCATAATAATTTTATATTAATCTCCCATAATAATAATAATTGAATAAAAGAAAAGGAGAAGAAAAGAATTGGATTTGCGTAGGAAATAAAAGGCAGAACTTTCAGAGGCTATAACGCCTTCGATATAGCTCCAAATTGGGTGATTCTTGAGCCTAAACTCAAGGATTATTTGAGAGAAACAACATTTGGTGAAACGTCACTACCCCAAAAACTGACCAGAAGTGCCCGAAAATTGTCTTCAAAGATGAATGGGATGATTTGTGTAAAATTGAGGAGAAGAAAAAGAAGAGAATTGGTGTGAAGAATGTGAGAGGTATGAAGGGGTATTTATAGGCTAGTATGAGCATGAATTATGGTAGTAAAATGTAGGAAGAATTATGGTAATTAGGGTTTAAGAGATTACTTGGAGAAGTGAGCAAAGATTTAAGGAAAGTTTTGATATTTGAAAGGATTGTGTATAATTGAATATGGAAGATATGTATGTCATGAAAAATGTTAAGGAAATTGGAATTTCTTGGGGAATAATTAAGAAGAATGAATGGAAAGAAAATATAATAATTGGATATCAAAAAGATAGAGAATTAGAATTATGGAAAATAGGAGATTTAAGGGAGATAATTAAAAATACAAATTACCAAAATATTTTCCCAAAATCTTTATAGGATGGCCGAAATTATTGAGCTTTCCTTATCTCATATTTTCGGCCTTCCTATTTAGTATTTAGGAATATATTTTGCTAGTTTATAGGAATTAAAAATAATTGTGTAAATAATATTTATTGTAATAAATAATTAAATAATAAAATACCAAATATTCACCAAATAATTTAACTAATAAAAATCAGATTTTCACATAGGAAAATCCGAAATTATTAGCTAATTAATTGGGATTTTCAAACCTATTAAAATAATAATAAAATATAGCTTTTGCCTTAATTAAAATATCTGAAATATAAATAATCCGGTTTTTAAAATAGGATAAGTGGATAATAAATCTTATCCTAAATAATGATTAGTTTTAAAAATACTTTTGGCGTCAAAATTCAAATATCATTTTTGCTCCAAGATTTAAATAGTAAGTTGAATTACTAAAATACCATATTTAGAAAATAATAATTAATTAGGAAAATACGTATGAAAATACGGGGTATTACAAAATTTGATTAAGCTCATTCAACATGCACCTTAAAAAACTTCGCTTATTTCTTTTTTCGCGTCTTTCTTTTTCGAGAGAAAGTCGGTACCCTCCGCAAAAATGACGGAAATTTTTTGCTTTTTTGTATTTTCGAGTCGCACGATCACATTACAATGCACACACGAGTCATGTATAAATTGAGTCATGTCGTGTTATCACATTGAGTCAACACTAAGTCTTAGGTCAACCCTAAAGAAAGATTAGCAAAGTCCTATAGTCAAAGATAAATACAAGTGCATC